CATCAACATATGGTAGGAAGGCATAAATGGAAACTGCATATGATGAGGAATCATAGAAAAGGTGAGAGGAACCCAATTGGAAATTGGAAAAGAATTTGTGGGGCAAGTGCTAAAGTAGAAAAAAAGAGAGGAAATGGACTCTTGTGGATTACTTCTTACTTAAAGACTGAAAAGAACAAAGAGCCATTGGGTTTGAATTGAATTTGGTGGAAAGTATTGGGCCTTTTCAGATGTGACTACACCAATCGTAATTGTTTTGTTTTTGTACCAACCTTTTGAGGCCCACCCCATGTGAACTTCTATCAGTTTGTCACGTGATAGGTTTCTTGTAGAAAATCTCCTTTATCATAATATATACTGGAGGACTCAATTTTATTTTATTTTGTTTTAATTTAGTTTTCGAAGAATTCGATTTTGAGAAATAAGTTTTAGAAAAATATTTCTTTGAGGAATTTTACTTTTGTATAGCATTTGTGAACTTATTGCTTATGTTTGGTTTCTTTTCAATTTTAGAAAAATACTTTGGTTTACTTTTTAAAATACAAAGTCAGGTTTAGAAGCAAACCCAATGTTTTCTGCAATCAAAAAATTTCCGAAAACCTTCTAAATTCAAACGGGACCCAGTAACATTTCACTAAATAGTTTTGGGATTTTTTCCTTCCTATACAATATTTGAAACTTATTTACTAAAATTGTCCTAATTTTGTATATTACCCGTCCCAAACAAGGATTACTTACAAATTATATACATTCCACCTTAAAAGGCTCCCAATCCATTATTAGTACATTAAATTAGGGGATTCTTTGCTTGAAAAAATGCATAACTGAAGGGAACAATGGTGTTAACCACGTTTGAGTATCTGATGGTGGCAATAGCAGCTCCGTCATCGGAAAAGTGTAGGCCCAAAGTATACAAATCCTAGATCGTGCTGAGTTGTTGGAATAACTTGAGTGATTGGCAAAATTGGCTTGATCAAGTGGGCCATGAGCCTCGAAACGATAAACTTTAGCTACAAAATGCCTGAACCAGTCACAAATTAAATTTGGTATTGAACTCTTTGAAGGTGATTGGCTTTTTCCGTTGAATGGCTCAGTTGAAGCATTGTACTACTGTCCAAAGTTGGATGAAATGAGTTGGATGAAAATTCTCCTCGACGATGAGCAGTAAAAAGTTTTTTGTATTCAGGTGTTTGACACTCCACCATTGACAGCCATTAAAAAGCTTTAAAACTTTGAATTCGAATTTTGGGTTTTCAAAAACCATTATTTGTTTGGATCGGGTGTTGTTTGCAAACAATTGGAAATATTGTTTAGAGTTTATATCTCAATTTTGAGGGTGTTTGGTGAAAAATGCACTTAATTTTGGCTGAATTTCAGATAGAAGAAGAAGAAGAAGAAGAAGAAGAAGAAGAAGAAGAAGAAGAAGAAGAAGAAGAAGAAGAAGAAGAAGAAGAAGAAGAAGAAGAAGAAGAAGAAGAAGAAGAAGAAGAAGAAGAAGAAGAAGAAGAAGAAGAAGAAGAAGAAGAAGAAGAAGAACGCATGACATACCATATACTTACGAAATTATAGTAAAGCTGTAGTATAATTATATGTAAATTGTATTCTGTTGTAGTTATATATATATATTTTTTTTATTTGAATGTTGTATGAAGGTTGAAAAATAGTTGTATAATATATGAATCGTTGTATAAAATCTGTATTGAAATTATCAATACTATCTTTTTGCATAAAATTGTTAATATGTATCAAAATTGTATTAAGAGAGAAAGTTTTGATTGGAATTTTAGAGAGGAAGAAACACACACCACATATAATTGAGATGAGAATTTTAGAGAGGAAGAAACACACACAAAATCAAGTCTAGTCTTTATCAAACACCCTTAAAATTGAGATATAAACTCCAAACAATATTCCCAATTGTTTGCAACAACATCCAATCCAAACAAATAATGGTTTTTAAAAACCCAAATTCGAATTCAAAGCTTTATAATGGCTGTCAATAGTGGAGAGTCAAACACCTTAAAAATTTATTGATTGACAATTTCAATTTGAACACCAATTGTGCAACATTAAAGGAAATTACTAAGTTAAAACTCTATAGTAAAACAGTTGAAATCCATTAATGAATTCCATTAAAAATATATATAACATGAAAGGATAAAAAATAGAAGACATCAGACTAAGAAAAATTGGGAAAGAACAGAGAATGAGATATTGAGAGACAGAGAGTGACGGAGAGACAGAGGGGGCGCGCAGAGAGAGAGAGAGAGAGAGAGAGAGAGAGAGAGAGAGAACATGAGGGAGAGAGAATAAGGATGGGAAATAATTGATTTCTTATTCATTTCCTAATATAAAGGGATGCTCATTTAATTCCTAAAGTGTATATAATTGGTAAATTGTATATGCCTATATAATTAAATTAAAACTTGAGTAGGGGGACTAATAAAGTTTCAAATAGTGAATAGGAAGATAAAAATCCCCTTTCTAAAGGAAGGAAAACCAAATTAAGGTATAATGCTTCTATTTTAAGATAGAGCTGTCAACATGACCAGGCAAGCCAGCCCATGTGCACTTTGGAACTTGACGGGCTGGGCTAGTTTAAATGACCTTTGGAATGGTTAACCCCGACCTCCGTGGGCCACAAGCTGGGCCAACACACTATTTTTAAAAATTATTTCACAATTTATTTAACATTTAAATTATAATCTAAAAATGCAAACACATTAACATGTACAAGATAATATTACATAGTGTTGCTAACCAATTTGCAAGTCTATAATTAAATTAATACTTATTATGTACACCAATATCCCATGCTTTTGATTTTTAATAATGCCCATCATGTAGGGGGTCTTCATATTGGTTTTGCTAGTTTTAGTACAATTTTAGCTTTCATGTGGTGTCTTCTTATTGATTTGCTGGTCTTAGCACAAGTTTGCTAGTTTTTAATTCAAGTTTGTCTTCTCTTTTTAGTATTTTTAGTTCCTTATTTTTTCTAGTTATTATATTTTTCTAAATACTTTTTTATTGAAAACTACCAGCTATGTTCATTTATAAGTAGCTTATTACAAAAATTGGCCAATTCATAAAATATTACTAATATTAGCCAAATATTATCAATATTAGCTAAATATTATCAATATTAGCCAATTAGCTATTTGTAGCAAAAAAATCAAATTTTTGCTTTCTTTTGAATGTGTGTTATTAGAATAGATTGGGTACATCTTAAGAAGCTTGAATCGGAGTTTTGGGATTATTTGGTGTAGTTTTGAGGTGGTTTGAATTGAGAATTCGAAGTAGAAGATGAACACGAAAAAAATTGTGTATTACATATGTATCATATTTGTATCAAATGTGTATCACATTTATATCCATGTATACATATGTGTGTGAGATACATGCGTGATACATGTGTCGCAGAAAAATTTTTTGAACTCGATTTTAACTACGAATGTTGATACCAAATCACCTCCAATCTTCTCAAATTTTGTATATTGACTTATCTATATGTTTGCAATGAATTTCAACCATAGTCATTGAAAAGGTCTTTTTTTCTTAGGTTTTAGAATCTTGTGTATATATTTTTTTTGTATTTCATCACCTTGTTTGCTATCTCATCCATGAATTTTCTTTTCCGTTTTGCATCTAATGTTGCTGATCACGCTTAAAAATATAGAAAGAGATCTTTGCGTGTGATTCTTGGAGAAAAAGAACCTTGTTTATTTGATTTTTAATTTTTATATATGCTTGACTAACTTTGATAAATCTATGGTTAATGACTAAGGTTGGTAAGTCAGGACTTATTTGGGCACGTGCCGGGCTGGCCTAGCCTCGATCAAGCCTCACGACCGTGGGCTTACTTGGATAAAAGAGCCTCGTTCTTAAATAAACTTAAAACAATCTTCCAACCTTATCAAACCATGAGCTGGGCTAAATCAACCCAGCGGAACAAGCCTATATTGACAGCTCTAGTATTTGATAGTTCGAACATTTTTTCATTTGTCGTCAATAATACTTTACCTTATATACCTTTTTAACATAAGCTTTTACTTTTTCTTTCTTTTGGAAAACCAGACAACCAACATGATGTCCTCGGCATAAGTTAGACATGATGTTAGAAATGCTTATACAAGTAAGTATAAGCAATAACTACACTTAAGGATCTTAACATTTCATATTCTGTAAAACCTTCCATGTATTTCTTTCCATTTTTCATTTCGAAATTTATAGAAGAAACCCACTAAATCAAATTTGTGCAAAACCAGATAAAGTTTTTATTTTTTACATTTCTATCAAAATTGATGAGTTAATTCGTTCACCAATCCTCAACAACAACAACAACAACAACAAATCCAGTATTTTCACCAATCCTCATTCGCAGTATATTCCAATATGGATTATAGAGAAGTTGACTTTGACCTTCATTGAAAAGCTTAAGGGCGAAAAATTGGTGGGGTGCATTGAAGTTATCCTAAAAAGGAAAAGAAAAAAAAGTTCATACTGACAAGATTCTATAGTAAAGCTCAAACCTAGACTGCAGTTTACTTGTTGAGAGAGAAAAAAGTAAATTATAAAAGATTCAACCTTTTGCGTTATTTGTGAATTTAATAACCAAATAAGTAATGAAAAAAGTTGTCGAGATTTTTAATAATAGAACTTTCCCCCAAATTATCACAACAACAACAACAACAACAAACGATGGTAGTGTGTAAGCAGACCTTAAAAGTAGAAAGGGTAGTGTGTACCTTCCCCAAATTAAGCCTAGAAAAAGTTTAAAAAGTTGAGGAAGATGGTTCGTTTTATTTTAAAGTTTCCTACTTCAGGTTCTTTTTGCCATATTAGTTCCCCCGCACTCCCGGTCCTCATTGTGGCTAGTACACCGTGTCAACCCATCTTGCCTTTTGCTTTCAGATAAAGGTATACAGAAAAGATTTTTTCCTTTTCCTTTACTTTGATAAACGTATATACATTTTTCACCAACTTCTTGACACCAAGATAGATAAAGTAACAAGCAAATTCAAAGAGTACATTTATTAACTAGAAGCTAGAAGCTATTGGCTTACTATACCAACAGTAAGTATTCCCATATGGAACAGTCAATGTTATAAATAGTTCAATGCCTTTTGGCAAAGATTTGATCATCAAATGCCAAAAGTTAGTCAATTTCTCAATGGGAATTCAAGACTTACAAGTTACAAGACCATCCAGCATTACATACGTTAAGGATCAACAAGGCTCACGACCTATCTCGCCCTTTACTCAATATCTCGAAACAAATAAAGATCACTAGTCCCTTAAGCTTTTTCTGTGGGGATTATGAATTCACATAACTCATGTGTTTAGTCATTCGATATTAGTATTTGTATTTACATGTGTATTCTCTCCTATTGTTTTCTCAAAAAGCTGTAGCAAAAGCTTAGCCAGATTCAGGATGACACAGAAGGCAAGAATTCAATTAGATTTCATCTCTATATCGGTATTTTCTTTTGTATCCGGTTCATCATCAGGAAGAAGACCAAGCAAGGGCAAAGGCAATAGGGAGCTGAGATTGCAGAGAACTATCAGAAAAGCCAAGTTGTCAAACCTGTCCTTGGTGACACCAAATACCTGCGTTAGACCGGCACCAATTAGACCACCAAGGACACTCCCTCCATTGGATATGGACATAAGGGTTGCGAAAAGAGTTGCTTCCATTCCTTGTGGACATATTCTAGCAGCCAGTACTAGAACAGGCATGAAAGATGCCTGAAACAGGTAAGTAGTTAGATGATGCGTGTTGCCAGAATACTCTAAATTCTATATTAGAATATAGAAGTTTACCCATTCAATTTCAGTTTACATCTATACTAATAAATAATGCAGGAGTACTTTAGACTAAAAATGGCACTTCATCGGCCAAGTTTTCCCTTGCGAGAAAAACTCACGTTTCTCTGCTCCTCCATCAGATAAGCAATCTCATCAAAGGGCAATTTTTTATGCAATCACTCATTTGCGAAGATTACCTGTTGCTATCTTCTTACAATTCGTATATGAAGTGCCTCAAGAAGGTGATTCACCAAAATTCAAACAGAACACCCATGTTTCCTCCATTACTCTTATCAGATAACCATTCTCTAAACGCACCGAAAAATCTATTATTAAAACAATTTTAGTGTTCTATAAAAAGCCATACACTATTTTTATTTGTTCTCTCACATGCATCAAGCACATAGTCTGGCTCAGTAGATGTGGTGAAACTTCCTCCTTCGTACTTTAACTTCTGTTTTGAGAATTCTAAAAACCATTACTTTTACCATTCATCTTTGGGTGTCCAGCTTGGTACATGAAATTGATACTTCTGGTATGTATTAAATGTTTCACAGTGCCAGTGACACAAGATTGCTCCTGGCTTTTTCATTCAGATTTCTGTTTCATGCTTTAGATTGAGCTTCAACTATGTTCTTTAGTAGTTTATATTGATCCAGATATCAAATAAAAGACTGAGAAACAAATGTAAAGAAAGATTCAAACAAATAGAAAAGCTCTAAAACATCAATAAAATTTCCACCAAGAAAATTTTAACGGAAGTGAAAGAGTATCTCAAGTATCTGGAAGTTTTATGTAACTGGGTTCGGATAATTTGTTGGCTGTG